TGCAGTTGATGGCTGTGGCAGCGGCCATGTGGGTTGAGGTTGTGTGGTAGGTAGTGGTGGTGGCGTGGCGTGAGCGTATGGCCACGGAAAATGCATGTCGTGGTCGTAGCTATGGCACGGCGCGGCGCGGCAGCAAAAATGCAGCGGAGAAGTGCCGAGTTGTATTGTCATGATGTTGTTGAAAGTCTCATCTCTGGTGTCGATGGAGAGTATGTTGTAAGGTGGTGCTAGAGGTGAGCTTGTTGGTAGGTGTGTGTTCATGCATCTCGAATTAGATTGAAGAGCTCTAATGCCCAAACTTGAGTTCTGCTGATGAAAGAGTCACGGCATCGATATGGCAAAACGTGGAAACACAAACATGATTTGGAAAAGTGAACATGACGGATCCGAAATCTGAAAGCTGATATCCGATGTATTCTTCAAGAACCGTTTTTTTGGCCCGGCGGCCGGTATGTCAGTTGATTCTGTGAGGGTGTCGGTGCCTTCCTGTGAGAGTCCAGTGAGTGGTGGTGCGTTGTGGTGGTTGCTTTCCCATGCAAAATCAGCGCCCCTGTGACGGGGATCACACTCAGCACCCGAGTGGGACGGCTGAGCGGGACACACTTCGACAATTGTATTCAGTTAGCTCAATTTCTCCGATGGGAAGGAAGGTGAAGAACCGCAAGGCGAAAAAGTCCGGTGACTTGAATTGTTGAAAAAAATGTTTCACTCGCGCGGCTGGCTGCAGTTCATAAGCGGCTGAGACCTGTTGTGGGGTGGAATACATGAAGAACCATGAAACAACACGCGGAAGAGTGGGGTGAACAGCTTGTGCAAAAGTTGTGTGGCAGGTACACACCAAAGCGTCCTTTGGTGCTTCCCCTGTCACATCCTAGCTTCGTTGGGCCAGGTTGGATGTGACAGGCCTGGCCCCCCTGCCTGTGAAAGGTGGTGGTGGAAAACCCTTTGTCCAGGGGTGGACACACACACACACACACACACACTCCGAGGAAGTTGGTTGTTGAGCTGTTGTTTCATCTTTCGACACTTCGCGCACGAAACCCATGGTGCCCCCGATCTTGTAGCATCGAAGTCGATGTTTCAACCCCAATCTCGGGCAGCTTGTGAAACATGGAGAAACACACGAGTTCCTCCAGGTTGCAAACACCCGCCCGACACATCGCAAAGAAACATAACTGTCAAACGTTTTCGTTGGAAAGAGTTTTGCTCGCTCTTTTGTTGAGCCCCAAACCATCCAAATCGCAGCTGCTTAACCGCACCTCACATGAAACACATGGGGGGAACCCGCAGGAACCGTGCGGCGACCGGCAGGCTTAGCTAGCCTCGAGCCTCGTGATGCACAAAGAGGGCTTGGGTTGATATAATTTGTTCATGTATATATATATATATACACACCAGTATAGTCACAAAGATGGTGGTGTTTAGTGCCCAAGTGAGTGGATGTTCTGGGCACCCCTAACCTCCATTAAGCGCCCCTTTGTGACTGCTGGTATATACCATCATATCCGTTGGGGATCCAGTTGTACCTTGACACGGTGATTGGAGACACTGTGATGCAGTTTTCGATCCCTAGGGATAGTTCATAAAATACATATATAATTAGGTGTTTTGCACATGCCACACTGCAACAACTCGTGGACACGTACACAGAACATCACACAACCCTGGTCAAACCCTTCCATGTTTTTGTGTGGCTTCTTGGCGGGGAGAAAAACTCGAAAGTGGTTCCAGGTCCATCATCTTCTTCACATCCCCCAAGTGACGTGCAGTTTCCCATCGTTGCGGTTCTTCCTTTCGGTCCCTCCAGTTCGTTGCACCTCCTCCAGGTTCCTCCTTCCTCATCTGAGGGGCGAAGGTGAGGGCTGCCACGGGGACCCAGAACTGCCAGGAGGTCTCGTCCCAAAAGGTGGAGACCTCCGGTCTAGCGACCGAGCGGCGGTCGTTGGGACCGGTGACCGGGGTCTTCTTGGCTCGAAGCAAACACGTGTGAAAAAAAAGGAACAAGAAGCAAACTCAGAGTTCTCATCTCACCAGAGTTCTCAGATGTTGGATGTTGTCATGCGGACGATGAAACTGGTGTTCAGGAGTCAAACAACAACTTAAGAAGCTTTTTCGAGGGTACGCGACACGTCTGTCTTTGTGCCCGTTTGAGCCACTTTTTGTTGCTATTCATCTATTCAGTGGGCACTTGAAAGGGGAGAGGACGAACATGGTGCGAATCAATCAGTTTCTTCCTTGCATTCCGCATCCCCATGACCTCAAGTGAGCTGCATCCAGGACCTGCCAGGATTCCAGGACCTGCGACCAACTGATTGGTGCAGCGAGCTATGGGGATCATATTTTAAGAAACACGTACCCTCGCTGGTCTTATCCTGCACTACTGTGGATTTTTGGGACGGAGATGGGTCACTCATGGTGGGGACCCCCCCTATGGAGGCCACAGCCACGGGGCTGCCTTCAATAAGAGTCCAGCGTCACGTACGCACCAGCAGGCGAAGACTGTGGAGGTGTCAATGTTGCTGTTCTATTGCGTGGCTAAAACTGGAGTGAAACCACAAGTTCCCAAGGAAGTGAACCCCAAGTGACAAGCAAGCCAAGTTCTCCATGCAAGCCAAGTGAACCCCAAGTTCCCAAGGACCGACACATGGTCTGAGGCACCACTCTTGAGACTCTTGATGTCCGATCCGTTGGAGCTTGGTCGGCATCCTCGCCGCTTGCCCAACCCCACCTGATCCCAAAAGAAGTAAGCTGGAACCAGGGCAAGCACTGAGCAACTACAGCCACAGCACAAGGTCACCTGCAACAAACCGCTGGCGGCTAAGGAGTCGGACATGAAGAAAGCCCACTTTAGGTTGGCTTTGGAACATGAACACTTCGATCGAGATGAGGGCCCCTACAATGTTCCTAACGGGTCTCTAACCCCGCTTGCCCAACCTTGTTTCTTGCAAACATTTGCCTTTTCAACCCATGGTTGGGAGCTATCCAAGCAACTCTGACCATAGCGTACGCTTAAGAAAGGCTCGGTCCTGCAAAGCAGGGCCTAGTTGGTGGCTCAAGATCCCAACCAGCACCGTTGATGTTTAACATCCTTTCCCTACGGATCCAAATACCTTCTCAGAAGGTACTTTGGACCCTCCAAACCTACATAACAGTAACAGTGTCTCCACTCACCTTCTGAGAAGGTACTTGGATCCCTAGGGCGTTAAGTCCAAACAAGGCATTGAAACCCACAACAGCCCTCTCTAGCGTCTGATAACAGCGGGGCTACAAATCCCAGGCGTCACTTGAGGAATCGACGTTTTCTCAGCATCTCGTCATATTGCCATAACACCAACCAGACCTCAAATATACCAGGACCATCAATGGACTTTCCAATGGACAAGCTTACACTACTTGGGGGATCTCCATTGGACACCCTTTGGATGGTCCAGGTCCAGGTACATATATACTATAATCATGCGTCTCAACATCGGCAACTCTGCAGGGGGGCCTTCTGGAAATAATGGGAGTTGGATGGAAATTGGTGGAAATGGGTCGTATGCTGATTGCTCAAGTCAACATGGAAGCTCAGTCCCTCAAGCAAAGTTCCGAAGCTCAAGTCGAACGGGTCAGCCCAGGCCGAAAGCACCCCGTAGGTGGACTCCCTCCTAGGCTTATCGAGGCCTCCGTAGGCTATGCTTTTTGAACTGGGTGGAAGGTACTGCAACAGCGACCAGTCTGTGTTGTTGGGCCCCAACACAGCTGGTGGGGTGAAGAAGACTCCTGTGGGATTCCAAGAGCCATATGAATGATATTTCATGGCCTTTAATAAAGAACCCTTGTTTCACTGAAGGGTACTTCAAAGGTCAAACCGGTCACAAACAGGCCTGGAACAAGTCACAATTCAAACGAGTCAAAACAGGTCACTTGTTTGGAAGAATCTGTTGGTCTCCACGTTGCCTTGAAGGGGGCTCTTCTGGGTGCCTTGAAGGCCTGGATCTTGAACGCACACAAACCTCTCTCAAAGCACGCTGGAGCCGGAAGAGTAACTAACTTAACATCATAGAACTAAACAATCAGCACGTCATTTGGAACTGAACCACATGGCACAGCGGCACAGTGCCACTTAACAAAACTCAGCGTAGCAAAATATTCGCAGCATTCCGCATGTGTGGGTCCTCTCTCATCCAAGAAGCTGGTGCATTGTAGCAAGGATCGAAGCGCGCCCACCAGGACTGGCCATGTTGTTGGTTCGGCCCCAGCAGCGCCATGTGGCTCGCAGATCGCACACGCGCTCGTTCGCACACGCGCGAGCCGCTCGGCTTGGGCGTCACCAAGGTGAAGGCTCAACAATAGCGACACCAGGCACCCTCATCGGCTCACTGTACATATTCGTTTATTAACATGGCAAGATTGGTCTTAAAGATTTCATGAATGGGGATGAATAGGGTCAATCCTTCTCAAGTTCCTCCAGCTTCCATTTTTGCTTCGTCGGTTTCAGGCCCCCCCGGGGTCCACGCCGGCCCACGCACCTCGCGACGGCCGTTCTTCTGGCGATCCAGGCTGACGAGCTCCTCCTGCGTTCGAAGCACCTGCACGGAGCATCCGCACGACGTGTCCACCATATCCACCGCAGCGGAGGTCGGCTGAGCGGTCGTCTGACGTGAATTGCTTCGAAGTGTGGTCGGCTCCAACACCCCGGTGTATTTTAATAGGGAGTATCCCCGACCAATGGGTTTTGGTTTTGATCTATTTTCCTTCTTCCAAGGGGATCTTTGGGAGGCCTCCCTATCTTTATACACTCACATCCACCACACCTGAGCCACTCATGAGTCACAGTCCGGTCCTGGTGGGCGGTTTCTGGCTCCCCATGGAGGAACACGAGCAGTGATGGGCCAGCAACGCAGCTGGGTTTGAGACTGTCTTTTGATCTCTTCCGGCTAAGGTGGTTTCTGGACCGAAGTCTTGTGCAATTGGCGGCACTCCGAGCTTTTTCGTGCTGCAGGGCCCCAAACGAGAACGTGCGGAGGAAGAATGAAGAATCCCATCTTTCCCTGAGGCAGTCAAGATCCAATTCTGCGGCCTCGCGTGGGACATGAAAGGGCAAAACAATACGAACGGGTCTCACGGTGCCAATCTTGTGCCTTGAGACAAAGGCTTTTGGAGAAGCCCTCAAAAGGAGATGGTCTGAATTGGTCTGAACCAGCACCCCAAGGGTTTTTATAGACCCTGACAATGTGTCTACCAGCCCATATATAACCATCCTGGCCAGCTGGATTTGTTCTTGAGACATGAGATATGATACAATTAGGTGTCTTGGATGAAAAAACTAACATGGCAACCAGCCAGTCATCCCTCCATTTTTGTTATAGTTGTTCCTTGTTGTTCTATATTTTTCTCATTCTCTCTCTCTCTTTCTGCGGTGCCCTTCCTGCGTTCTCTATTTTTTCTGCCCGCGGTCGCCGGTCGCCGTTCAGTCGGAGTCGGAGTCCACGCCCAAAGAGGCGGCCAAGCGGAGCGCCAGGTCGCAGGCGCGGTCGCGGCGGGCCCCGTGGTCTGACAAAGCACGGATCTCCTGGTGGAAGAAGGGAGAAGGGATGGATCCAACACAGGAAGGAGCCCAGTTCTATCCCTAACACCTCAGGTTCGGTAATTACGACTGGACACTCCTGTCACCTACATAACAGTGTCTCCATCATCTGCTGAGAAGGTGCTTGGATCATCCCCGTGTGTACTGCCAGGGGGGTCCTCACCTTGGAAATTAATGTTGAAATGGATTTTTTTCCCTTGGAGCAGACCTCTGAGAGAAGGCCCTCAAATAAGCCAAGAAGAGGGGGGGGGTAGTCGCTCATGATCACTATATAACAATAAGTTAAATCCTGTCCCCTGACCCCTCCCCCCCCCTCAACAACAACTTTTTAAGTTCATGATTTTTCTCCTGTCTCCTGACCCCCCCCCCTCAAAAACAACTTTTAAGCTTACATTTTTTATCCTGTCCCCTGACCCCCCCCCCTCAATAACAACTTCTATAACTTCTTAATCTTCTTGACGGGAAGAGGCAGGGGGGATTGGTGAAAGATTGTGAAAGCTAGCGGGGTGGATGCCTGTCAAATTTGCCGACAATTGATTCAACATTGCCCGAGCGCTTGCAGCTTTTGGGTTTTTGAAGAGTTCCGAGGAAGGCAGCGATGTCAGCTGCAATGTGTTTGCAATGTTCAACTGGCAGGGAAATGTTTGTAATCTATTTCCTCAGGCGTCTTACTTCAAGATAGGTATGATAGGTCACATGGTCAGCCCCCATGAAAAATATTCCAAATTGAGTTTCTTGACTTTTTGAGTCTTTGGTGCTGTGTCTGGAGTGGGGGTAGTTGTGTGTGGAAAGGTTTGTTATTTATTTCCTGGGGTGTCATCCTTAAAGATAGGTAATGTCAATGAACATGGTCAGCCCCCATGGACAAAAATTGTTTGACACTTCCCTTTTGGACTTTGTGAATCATTGGTGCTGTGTCTGGACTCGGGGGTGG